GCAGGGCAAAGAACGATATTTGGCTTTGACTAAACAACAAGTAAATGGGATATTCATCTGCACAACTGTATATTTGGCTTGCTTTTAACTCATGTCAGTGAAACTATCTGTACTTTGTGATGACAGAACCATTCATAGAGACTGCTGTTTTTTATTATGGTATGACCGATTTCAGATTCACCCACCTCTAAACAGCACATAAGATCAAGTTTCTTCCTGTCTAAGTGGGTTGTTCCTGTCCATAATAAAGCTGTAAAGTGGACCAGTCAAAATACTGGCCTGACCCTGACAGATCCATATCAGAAGCTCGAGGCACTTTCCTCCTCGGCTCGAAAGAGGCTGTAGAGTAAGAGCACGGCAGGACTTGTTGGGCGAGTTCATCACCTTGGACGATGGCCAAGATGATGGCCATCAGAAGGTTCGATTGGCTCTGCGCAGGAGAGTCAATCGCGAGAGGTCATCCTTGTCTGAAGCTCACCGGAACACAGCAGGGGAAGAGTAGGCATTGTCCACTGCAGCGTGTAGATCATGGTGAGTAGTCTTTGATGATAGGCTTCCTGCAGAAGGTTGGCTGAAGGAAAAGATTCTGAATGGATGACGTCCAAGCATTGCCTTATTTAGCGAGGGAAACCCCCTCTATATTTCACGCGCTTAAACGGCATTGACCAGTGTAACTGGCGTGATTCAATAAGGTTTCAGTAGTATTTGGAGGAAGGAGTTTCCCCATAAAGCATTATCAAATGCAATGTTGAAGTGAACAAATCAAAAGGGAACAAATTATCGCTGTATGGCGCAAACCTGATGCCCAGAAAGTGAGCATGGTCTTGAGTCTCTCTAACCTTTTCATTATGAACAGAACACTAGACTTGTTTACCTTTATAACTCTGAGAGTGTTTACATGCACAGTTATAATCGAGTTACAGCAGGGTTTTTTTGTTTTGTTTTGTTTTTTTGCTTAAAGGGGTGGTTGACTGGATTTTTTTCTAGGCTTGATTGTGTTTATGGGGTGCAGTCTAACGTGTTAATGCTTCGTTTGTTAAAAAATTCATTATTTTTCACATAATTTACCTTTATTCCACACCGCTCTGTCCCTTCTCCTCTGAACGCATTGATCATTTCCTGCTTTTATGAAGCCCCTCCCTCAGAAATACACGATGGGCTCTGATTGGTTAGCTGGCCCAGTGTGTTGTGATTGGCTAAACCGCCTCTAGCGTGCGTCTAAACGTCCCGCCCCTCAACATAGCGGCATGTGCTCCGGTTGTATTGTAAACAATGACGT